CCTGTCGAAGTCCTTTACTTTAAGCCTTCATTTATTTTACCAAGCCTACTTCTTCATGCAATTTACTTAAAGCCTCTTTATTTTATTGCCACTTAATCAATATCCAATTTAATCAAAACCTCAAAATCAACCTATGTCCTAGGATCAATCTGATCGATCCTGCTAGTAACCAAATAAGTAACCATTTGGAGGATCAGCGGTTGTTTACCAATAACCACGGTAAACACTATGATCTGTTAGAAGCAAATGCAACAGAGGCACAGAAGACGCTGGGGAAGAAAGATCAGAAGGCGGTGTTCTACATCCATCGATGTGTGGATGTGGATGTGCTTGAGAAGATTGTTGATTCTGAAACAGCGAAGGCTGCATGGGACACACTGGTCAGATGTTCGGTGGTGACTCATCAATGAAGAAGGTGAAACTTCAGTCTCTCAGAAAGCAATATGAGAATCTCAATATAAAGGACAACGAGAAGGTTTCTGAATACATATCTAGAGTGATTCTGATTACTAATGAGATAAAAGCTTGTGGAGAAACTCTATCTGAATAAGTAATTATTAAGAAGATCTCGAGATCTTTAACTTCTTAGTTTGATTACATTGTGGTAGCAATTGAACATTCCAAAGATATGAGTACCATGAGAGTTGAAGAGCTGCAAAGTAGTCTAGAAGCGCATGAGTTGCGTATGACTACAAGAACTTCTGAGAGGGAAGTATAGTAGCAGGCTCTGAAAGTAACTTCTGGTAAGAAGCATCAGAAGCAGACTTGGTCAGAAGCCAGGAAGAAAACTAATGGTGGTCAAAAGTTAGAAGTTTCAAACTCTGATAGGCAGAAGAATGTACAGAAGGGGAAGGAGAAGTCTGACAAGAAGAATATTCAGTGTTGCTTTTGCAAGAACTTTAGTCACTACGCCATAGATTGCTGGTCCAACAAAGAAAGGAAGTCATAAGAAGAAAATATAGCAAGAGGAGAGTATGATGAACAACATGTGCTATTGTTGGCTTCTGAACCTGGTGATCTGAATTCATCAGAATGGTGGTATATGGACACAGGGTGTTCAAATCATCTTACTGGAAACAAGAAGAGGTTAGTTGATTTTGACTATGGGAAGAGTACAAAGATCGGATGTGCTGATGATAAATACCTCAATGCAGAAGGTATGGGAAATGTCAGAATCATTCTAAACAATGGGAAAGCAGCGGTGATCCAAAATATTTGGTATGTACTTGGCATGAAAAGCAATCTGATGAGTGTGAGACAACTAGTTGAGAAAGGTTTTTCAGTTACCATGAATGACGATCTTCTGAAGCTGTATGACTGTAATCAGAAGCTGATTATGGAGTCAGAACAGGTAAGGAACAAAACATTCAAGGTGAATGTTAGAACTGCAGACTCTGAATGTCTTAGTGCAACAAGTGTTGTCAAGGAGAGTGAGTTGTGGCACAGAAGATTTGGTCATCTGAATTTCAGAAGTTTAGGGCATCTGAAATCAAAGAAACTGGTACGTGGAATTCCTATAATCAAGAAGCCTGAAAATTAATGCAAGGTGTGCATGGAAGGGAAGCAACCAAGATTACCATTTGCATCAGAAGTAATTCCAAGAGCAAAACATGCCTTGGGAGTAGTACATTCTGATGTGTGCAGTCCGTTTCCAGTAGCATCGACTAGAGGGAATAAATATTTTGTCATTTATTGAGGAATTCACCATAATGACATGGGTATCTCTCATAAAGTTCAAACACAGGGTGTTTGCTGAATTCAAGAAGTTCAGACTGAAGGCTGAGAATCAGAGTGGCCAGAATCTGGAGATTCTTAGAACTGATGGTGGTGGTGAGTATAAATCTACAGAATTCAAAAGTTTATGTGAGGAGAATGAGATTGAGCATGAGGTTACTGCTCCCTATACTCCTCAACACAATGGTCTTGCTGAAAGAAGAAGTCGTGCTTTGCTAGATATGGTGAGATGCATGCTGAAAGAGAAGAAGCTTCCTCATACTCTGTGGGGAGAAGCTGTTGCAACTGCATGTTATGTGCTAAACAGATTTCCAACGAAGAAATTGAAGGAAATAGTTCCTATTCAGAAGTGGACTGGAGATAAGCAAAGTGTTAGTCATCTGAAGGTGTTTGGTTCTGTATGTTATAAACATGTCCCATAAGCCAGAAGACAGAAGTTGGATGATAGAAGTAAAGTGATGTTGTTGGTGGGGTACCACAGTACAGGTTCATACAAACTTTATTGTCCATAAACTAACAAAGTTGAATTCAGTAGAGACGTCATTGTAGAGGAATCGGAAATTTGGAATTGGGAAAAGTCTCATCCTGACTCTAATGAGAGAACTTCTGAAGAAAAGTTAGAAATACATGTTTCTGAAGCTGGTAAAGACTCTAACTCTGAAGAAGATACAGAAGGAGAAGATGATTTTGACTCTGACTCCGATGGTGATCCAGACTCTGAAGACAGTCAAAGTTATGGAGAAAGTCCAATTTCTGAAGAAAGTGCTTCTGAAGGGGAAAGTTCTGGTGTCCAAGGTTCTGAAGGTCCAGTTCAGAGGCAACAAAGAGTCAGAAGCATCCCAAGAAGATTTGCAGAGTTTGACATGTTGCAAGACACTGAAGTAGACTCTGAAGGAGAAGTTATTCAGTGTGTAATGTTAGTATACTATGAACCCGTGAGTACGGAAGAGGCTCTTAAGCAGCAAGTTTGGTTACAGGCCATGAAAGAAGAACTTGATGCTATAGAGAGAAACAAGACTTGGAAGTTGACAGAACTTCCAAAAGGCAAGAAAGTCATCAGCGTCAAATGGGTTTTCAAGCAGAAGCTAAAGCCATATGGATCAACTGGAAAACAAAAAGCAATATTAGTAGCATGAGGCTTTCTACAGAAGCGTGGGCTGTATTACTTTGAAGTGTTTGCACCTGTAGCAAGACATGTAAGAATCAGACTAGTGATTGCAATAGTTGCTAACAAGAATTGACATCTGATGTATTTAGATGTAAAATCTGCATATCTGAATTGTCCATTACAAGAAGAGGGGTACGTTTCCCAACCTCCTGGATTTGAGAAAAAGAATCAGGAAGGGATGGTGTTCAAATTACACAAAACGTTATATGGATTGAAGCAAGCACCCAGAGCTTGGAATTTGAAGATTGATTCATTTTTCAAGGAACAAGGGTTTCAGAAGTGTGAGATGGAGTATGGTGTTTATGTTCAACACACTTCAGAAGGCAATATAATTCTGGTCTGTTTGTACGTTGATGACATATTACTCACAGGATGTTCTGAACAAGAGATAGCCGAGTTCAATAAAGTTCTGATGAATGCATTTGAGATGACAGATCTTGGGAAAATGAGTTTATTTCTAGGGATGGAGTTTATGTACTCAGAGAAAGGAATCATTTTGCATTAGATGAAGTATGAACTAGAGCTTCTGAAGAGATTTGAGATAGAGAATTGCAAGGTTGCTATCACACCTGCTGATACGAATCAGAAGTTAGACTCTGATTCTGATGGAGAGGATATGGATGCTACAACCTTCAAACAGATGGTTGATTCTCTAAGATATTTGTGTAATACCAGACCTGATATTTGCTATGCAATTGGAATAGTTAGCAGATTTATGAGCAAAGCAAAGTGGTCTCATTACCAAGCTGCAGTCAGGATTCTGAGGTATGTGAAGGAAACTCTAAAATATGGAGTGTTATTTCCGTCTGGAAGAAAGATCGAATTAGAACTTATGAATTATTCTAATTTTGATTGGTGTGGAGATAGAGTTGACAAAAGAAGTACTTCTGGATACTTATTCAAATTTCTTGGAGGTCCTATTTCTTGGTGTTCCAAGAAGAAACATGTTATTGCTCTGTCAACTTGTGAAGCTGAATATATTGCAGGCGCTCTGACTGCGTGTCAAGCTTTGTGGATTCTGAACTTGCTGAAAGATCTGAAAATTGAGGTAAATAAACCTCTGAAGCTGATGATTGATAACAAGTCTGCAATCAATCTTGCCAAGAATCCAGTGTTGCAATAGAGAAGCAAGCATATTGAGATTAAGTATCATTTTTTTCGGAATCAAGTTCAAAATGGAATATTAGAAGTTGATCAATTTCTTAGTTTAAGGGATGAAATTGGTGTTGTAAATTTTGGGTAAATATAAATTAAGGGATGATGTTAGAATTAATTTAGATTTTATAATTAATTAGATATTAATTTATATTTGAAATATCTTTTAGATTGTTTATATCTTTGTTAGAAGATATATATCTTAGATTTACTTATATCTTTGTTATAATATATATTTTAGATTTAATTTTGTGTATAAATAGCATAGTAGAATAGATTATTGTAATTCATTGTAAATCCTTATTTTTGAAGTTATTACTAAATATTTATTTTATCTTTTATCTTTCTTGTATACCAACAGTGTCGAACATATGAATATAATATTCATGTGAAAATCATATTATCCAATATTTTTCCAAATTTTCACCAAACAAAATTCTGTACCGTCAACGTACCCTAATATTCATGTGAAAGTTGTATTATATTCAAAGGCTAAAAATACATTTGAATTATGTTTGAAATTTTGACACATTTGAAAACTACAATGACAACCTTTAGCATATTCAAAAACTAAAAAATAATTGTTTATTCTATTTTTTAACCTTAAATACAAAATATTAAAAAAAAATGTCGATTATCTTGAATGCAGCTCCACGAGTTAAAAAAGTTAGCTGGTGTGAACAAGAGGTACTAAGATTTCAACACTGTCACTTTCCGCTAGTAGACAAGAACAGTAGTGCTTCATTTCACAGCCTCAGATTTCGATCTTTACAAGTTTAAAGATAAGATTGATTTAATACACACTAGCTACCATCACAACTACCACGTAAAGGTTATGTATTGATTCCCACTTCCTTCCATTATAAATAGAGCACACATTCTTACTATTTTTCTCATCCTTCACTACCAAATATCACATTCCAATCGATCTTGAGTTGAGTACATGGATTCCAAAAAGGCAATCCTCATCCTTGGCCTATTGGCCATGGTTCTTCTTATCTCTTCAGAGGTTTCAGCTAGGGACTTAACTAATACCAAAGAGGGTGAGCTAGCTACACATTATTTTTCTTAAATTGAGCTTAAAATATAGTATTTTTTTCAGAGTATATTATACATGAAAGGATAAAATTAGAACTTATATAAGCACATTATGACTAAGAGACATGATCAGTGTCATATATATATATATATATATATATATATATATATATATATATATATATATATATATATATATATATATATATATATATATATATATATATATATATATATATATATATATATATATATATATATAATTATAATGTTAGAGTTTTTTTTTGTTTATGGAAACAATTAGATATAAAAAATAATTAATTTAAGATTTAAATTCACATAATGTTTTATTTGCAGAAGTTGTTGAAAAGTCAAATGAAGTGAATGATGCTAAATATGGAGGCTACGGTCGTGGAGGTGGTTACCATAATGGAGGTGGTTACAACAATGGTGGTGGTTACCACAATGGTGGAGGTGGTTACAACAATGGTGGCGGTTACCGTAATGGTGGAGGAGGTTACAACAATGGTGGTGGTTACCACAATGGTGGAGGTGGTTACAACAATGGTGGCGGTTACCATAATGGTGGAGGAGGCTACAATGGTGGAGGTGGTTACCGTGGTGGAGGAGGACATGGTGGACATGGCGGTGCTTCCAACAACGGTAACTAATAATATCAACATTCTCAGTAATAAGTATCATGAAGTAATAATGTTGGGTGTTGAAAAAAAGAGGTATAGATAGAGAGACATGAATCTTTTATGGTTATGTATCATTTATCTTGCAACTCGATAGTATATATATTTCACAACTCTATAAATCACTATGTATATGTGATGATGAGTTTTATTTCCAATCAAAGTGGTGAATGTGTACTTATCATGTGTAAACTAATATATCAAATTTCATCCTTGTTAGTATTTTGCCTCCTTTTAAATTTATATATATCCATTATGCTAACTTGTCTAAATACGATATTTTAGTAATGAAAAGCCATGTATAAATCATAAGCTAAATCAAGAAATTGAACTTCACTCTTTAAGGTATATAAAATTTGTCACCATTTACCATAGCATTCCACAATCCACACACAGACAATTTTTTTTTTATTAGACTGCTTAATCGCTTCAATTTTCTTACAATGATCTATATTCCAACAATAATATTTATACACCTTATCATCTATCACGTAAAATATTAGAAAATCCACATTTTTAGATGGAACTTTTGTCAAATTTAAAATAAAATTCAAACAATTTTCGGCTGTCTTTCATACACAGAACTTTAACTTTACACAGGTATGGTCAATTAAATTTTTTTACTTAAATATGTCCTAACCAATTATGGATGCAATATAATTTCAAACAAAAATTTGCACAATTTTTTATTTATGTTGATTTATTAAAAATGACAAAAAAAAAACTGATTTTTTTAACTCATGCTCTAGATAATAAATATTTTTTTTTATGCAAAGTTAATTTTAGGGTAATTTAATTCATTTTATTTTTGGTTACAAATTAATTAATATTCCAATAATTATTATTTAATAAATAAACTTAAAACTAATTATTACGTCGGCCACACCAAACATTGCAAACTAGCATTCATGACATCTAGTAATAGCAATAAGATGACAATGAATAGAAGGGCATTCGTGATGTTAGGAATGCCCCCATCCCAAAAAGTTACAAGTCGACGAAAAAGTGATCCAAGACTAACACCAAGAGACATAAGTTTTTGATGCATCATATAGCTTCATGGAGAGATCACAACCTTCTAAATATTGATAAAAGAAAAAGAATCGAAAGAAAGGAAAAGAGGTAGACCAACTCCTTACAAAATCAACACTATTGTTAGAGGTTTCATCTGAGAAGGTTGAAATTGCTCCTAGGGTATCTCTCAGTTTTTGAATGTTTTGTAGATTGTTCGATATTTATCTCTCTAATAATTGTGTTCCTCAAAATTAGTTCTTTGCACATATCTTAGAAAAAGAGACATTTTCTTTAAAATGTTTTTTGCAAGTATAAAACAGTAATTTGATTAAAATTCAACATAAGGTTATTCAACTCGGGATGTTTGCAATTAAAATAAAAAAACTAACATGATTTGATTTATGAAAAAAATTTATTTTCTGAAAATTTTATTATGGAGTCATGAGCAAGTTTTATAAAATTGGATTTTGGCACTAGAGTTGTGACTTGAGTCGCACCTTTCTTTGACTCGAATCCTAAGGTGTATGACTTAAATCATGATATTGTTAGATTCAAAACCAAAATGAAATTTTCAACTTTGAATTTTTCTTTGGAAGTGTAACTTGAGTCACACTTCGGCCTGACTTGAGTTAAGAGAGAGCATGAATTGAACCAAATATGCTAAAATTTGATTTTTTTTCTTCTCTTTGAATAAAATCACTCTTTCACTATATTTGAGTCACATTTTTTCCCTTGACTCAAATCAAAGTATCATTTTCACTTTATTTTAGTGTCTTATCTCTAACACATAAAAACTATTTTTTCTCTCTCTAGTTCAAAAGATTGCATGATTCACAAACTAACCTTTGAAAAACCTTGAGTGTTCATCAATTACACAAATATTCCTTCTTAGATTAACCTCGAAGAAAGGTCAATTCAACATCCCTCCTAGACTATTCTATGACATATTTAACCCAATAATTCACCTCAGAGATTGTCTTTTGATCGAGTCTCATAATTTCAAAAGTTTTAAATATGGATAAGAAGATTTGTAGGGTGTGCATAATATAGATCTCATATCCATGGGAAAAGATTACACTTATTGGAAATAATTCATGTATGCACACTTGATGTTAGTAAATAAAATGTTTTAGGTTGCTATCGAAGACGGTCCTTTTATTCCAAATATGATCATAGATGGTGTGTAGTTGAAAAAACCCAAAAAGATTGGACTCATGATGAAACTTAGAAATCCTTTTAATATTTGAAAGTATGAAATATACTAATTTTCTTCTTGAGCACTAGAGTGTATTTCTTTATTTTGTATTTAAAAATGGCAGAAATAATATGAGATGTTCTTCAAGTTCTCCATGAGGGATTTGAAGATGTCAGGCAATCTAAAACTAACACTTTAACAAAGGAGTATAAGCTATTTCCTATGGAACCTAGAGAATCTCCGGCTTCCATGAAGAGGAGGTTCTTCCATATAATAAACAAGTTAATAAATTTGGGAAAGACTTTATCTATTCAAAATTGTGCTAAAAATATTAAGGTCTTTGTACAAGTAATGGAAATTGAAATTGACTTCCATAAAATATCTAATAATCTTAAACCCCTAGACATATATTTTATTTTTGAAAAATTTATCGAGCATGAACACGAGTTAAAAAGACTTGAAGTAAGTGAAAAAAAATAGGAAATTATACATTCAATAAAAAGAGTTGAAAATTCTCAACCTTTCAATTTTCAAAGATGAAGCAATTTGAAAGTACATTAATCTTCATCCTTAAACAAATCCATAATTAGTTACCTAAAATAAAAATACTATGATTCTAGATTGTCCATATGTTATAATAATGTGTGAGACACTTTTAGTGAGGAGAGAAAGAGAAAATATTAAAGGAAATAAGGATTATATTATTCACTTGTTACAAATAAGGATACAGACTATGACTATTTATATACAACCCTAATTGGGTTTGGCCTAACACGACTTGGATTATATTTAAATATTAAATCTAATCAAATCTAATCTAATATTTCAACATACCCCATTAATCCAAGTTGTCGAATCTATCCTAATCATAGTCGATCCGAACTATTCCTAATTTCTTTCTCAAATTCAGGAATATGTCGATCTTCAATCCTTTGGTGAAAATGTTGGTCAACTGTGCTTCACTTGATTAATGTCTAACTTTAAGTTTACCTCAATTTACCTTTTTCCTTAGGAAGTGAAATCTAGCTTCGGTATGCTTACTTCTTCCATGCAGAACTGGATTCTTTGCCAAATTTATGGTTGACTTGTTATCGATTTGCAACACATGAGGTTTCTTCACTTCGACCTTCATTTATTCAAGTAAATATTTGATCCAAATTTCTTGACATGCAACATATGATCCTGCTATATATTCAGCTTCACACGATGATAATGTCACCACGGGTTACTTCTTCAAACACCATGAGATTTCGACACCAAATACTTAAAATAAATATCTAGTTGTGCTCCTTCGATCTTCCTTATCTCCACACCAATCAGCATCTGAAAGGAAATTAACTATTGCTTCTTTACCTTCAGAATCTCGTCGAAATAGTATTCCATAGTTTATTGAACCCTTCAAATATCTCAGAAGTCTTCTTGTAACTTTCATATGTGAGACTCTTTATTCACTCATATATCTTCTTACTAATCAGACAGTGAAACCTATATCAGGTCGACTATTGCACACATACCTTAAAGATCCCATAATTTGCTTGAACAAAGTTACATCAACTTTGTCTTCCTCTCCATTCTTCTCCAACTTCACATTTTGTTCGACGGGTGAGGATGCAGGATTCGATTCATCCATTCTGAATCTCTCGAGTATCTCTTTGACATACTTACTTTGATATAGCATTATACCTTTCTTCGATATTTGGAATTCCATGCCTAGTAAATAAGACAATTTTCCCAGATCTGACATTTCAAATTTTCTCATCATTCGCTCTTTGAACTTCGACAAGTTCTCCAATATATTTACAGTTACCAGCAAGTCATTGACATATAAATAAATTACTTTTATATCTTGTGCTTCAACTTAAAGATAGACACCATATTCTTATTTGCATTTGACAAATGCCAATTCGAATAAGTATGAGTCTATTTTATTGTCCCATGCTCTAGGTGTCTGCTTGAGTCCATAGAGCGCTTTGTGCAACTTATATACTTTACTAAGATTCCTTCTAAATCATAAACCCTAGAGGTTGTGTGACATATACCTCTTCATCTAAAGGACCATTCAAAAATACTGATTTCACATCTAAATGAAATATCGACCAGCCTTGGTTGCATGTCAATGCTACCACTAGTCAAACAGTCTCCAATCTTGCTACTAGAGAAAATACTTCAGAGTAGTCGAGTCCTTCTTGTTGAAGAAACCCTCGAGCTACCAATCTTGCTTTATATATTGCTATCGAGCTATCAACATTTTGTTTCAACTTGAATACCCACTTCACTTTGATATCTTTTGTATATGTTGGCAATTCGACTAACTCACATGTATGTTTTCTTTCGATTTTCTGTAAATGTTCAAACATAGCAAACTTTCAATGTTTAATCTTCAAATCTTCATTATGGTTGATTGGTTCAACACCTGCAAGTAAAGAAAAATGAACTAATTCTCCATTTGGGGTGACTTCATCATCACCTACTACTTCATAATCATGAAGTCTTGTTGGAAAAACTCTAATTCTTTGAGGTCTTTGGCTTGTTTCAGCCACAACCTCTTCGACTTTGATACTATCAGGAATGTCAAGAATTGCTTCAACTTTTACTAAATATTAGCAATTTCTTCGACTTTGAATTCATCAGTTTCTTCATCAAAACCATATCTCATCAATGGCTTGTTAATTGCATCATCAGAATTCAAATCCCAGGCAGAATTTTCATCAATCACAATGTCTCACCTCAACACAATATTCTCATTAACTAGATTAAATAGTTT